AAGGTTGAGTTGCCCCAGACCTCACACTGCAGCATCCACACTCACTGACAGAAAACAAAGGAGTGAAGAGGGAGCCAGGTCTCTTCAGTGCTTCCAAGTGAAAAGCTGGGAGGGTTAGGGCAGTATCCTGGGGTCCTTCATGGTCATTTCACAAAGGACAAGTTTGTCCTTCCTCATTCTTCCTCTTCTCCCCAAGCCCAGACCACACTCCCTCGTCTCTGCTGCTCTTTCTGCCCTCAGCCTCATCACCCACCTCCCCAGGTCTTGTGTTCTGGGTTCACTGACAGCACACAGTCTTCCTCATGACCTCTCAGGGTGATGCAGCTTCATGGTCACACATCAAGGGCTTGTGTCTTCGACTCTTGGTCCACATGGATTTCATTTTCCATGGCATTTAAATTCAACCAACTTCCTACTCATCTGCTGTTTGTGAGGGCAGAGATGGTGGAGTAAAGCCTCCTCCTTCCCTCAAGGAGTTCTTAGTCTCTTGATGCAGGGACAGTGATAAAAACAACTGTCCCATGAGGTGGAACAAGGTGGCACATGAGTGGTAGAAACAGGGCATCAGGGAGTCTGAGGATGAAGGATGTCCCTCATGTGTAGGTAGTGAGTTCTGAGGAAGGTTGGAATTCACTGGACTAAGGAGGAGCCTCTGCCTACATCAGCGAGAGTGATCATCTCCATTTGACTGAGGGATGCAGAGCCACCTGCTCTGGGGCACAAGCAGATGGCAGATATGCATGAGTGATTGGTCTGTGAGGCAGAATCTTAATGTGAGCAGAGCATGCTCAGAGAAGGTGAAGACTATTCTAAAAGGATAGAATTAGAGCGAGTCTCACACTACATCACATTGCCTTCATGTTACAGACAGAAAAACTGGGGTATGCAGAGGACTCTCTTAAACCAGTGGTGTGGGGCAGAGACAGTCAACAGTCTGACTTCATACTGGTCCTTTCTACCAGCGGTTGTCAACTCTTGGAAAGTGGGAACTTGAGTCTTATGACTATTCAGGGTATTAGAGGGCAGTAGACTCTTGGGAGAGAGCAAAGATTCCTGGAAACAGAATATAGGTCCATGTGGGTAGGCTGTCCTCTCCTGCAGACACTGTGAGGATTAACTGTTAGGGGAGACCAATGAGGATTGAGGGTCAAGAGTGGGAGTGTGCTTGAAACTAGGGTGTTACTGAAACTGGAGAGCCAAGGTGAGCTGAGACACAGAGCCATTTTGCAACAACAATACACCAAGAAGCGATATTGCCAGTGTGGTATCTAAGTCACTTTGGGGAAATGGGAGCAGACATTGGATTGTGGATGGAAGAGACAAGTGGACAGATATGCAGAGTGCAGGTTCAGAATGGTAGCAGAGGGCACCAGCTGAAGGGCTCATCAGCAACCTCCAGGGCCTGGCCACCAGGCTTTAGTCACTACCACAGCCTGCACCTCTGCTGTCAGGGTGTCTGGGGTAGAGGGCAGTGACTTCAGAAGGTGTTACATTCCTGAGAGAAGCACCAGTCTCACCAGTATTTGGTGGATTCAGGAAGCTTTCTGCATTTCTTAGGAAGTCTCTCCCTTTGATGCTTGTACATGTTTCTGCCCTCTTCCCATTCCCCTGAGACAAGACAACAATCCAGTAAAGCTTTACTGAGCACCTACTATGTGACAGGCACTGTGTCAGTGTTAGAGGTCTTGTAAAGCTTTACTGAGCACCTTCTATGTGACAGGCACTGTGTCGGTGTTGGAGGTTCCTATTTTAAATGGTGGCTGCAAAGTGTTGAGAGAGACCCCCCAAAATGTGGGGCCCGAGAAGAGGAACAGCAAGAGTGTAACAGCCAGAGCGTGGAAAGGTATGTGGTGGACGATGTCTTGGTTCTTGTATTCACGAACTCACTGCAATTATGCCTTTCTCCACAAGATCTGCTTAGGGTCGAGCCACCAAAGCAGTCAGAAGGTTGTCAGGTAGGCACTCATGGACTCAGTGGGTTACCAGAGGGAGGGACAGGAGGTGTGGGAAGAGAGTAGAGCAGGTAGGGGAGGGCCGGTGAGTAGGGGAGAAAGTAGGAGAGAGAGGTGGAGAGACATGACAGGGTTGGAGAAGGGGCATGTGAGGGATTATCACTGGGGTAGGGGGAATTAGTGGTGGATAGGATCCATGTATACACATGTCAAATCGTCAAAGAATAAAGAAAAGATAAAAATGTGAAGTATGATTTTTTTTTCAAAAAATTACATTAGGTTGTTTTTCTTTTACCAAAAATATGTGTGGTTGCTGTAAAAATTTTACAAACTATAGGAAGACATGGATCTTAAAATTCTCAAGATTTAATACTTAAGACTGAAAATTCTCTATCATTAGGTACCTAGCTGTTAGTGCTTAATAGTACTTTCTCACATCAACATGTCTTCACATTGTTAGTTAATATTCACCAGAGTTACTAAAGACTTAGTCTTTACTGAAATACAGCACTAATGAATTCTTGGCATTCCACGGCCTGGAAGTCCTAACATTTGTATTTAATGAGTCTAGTACTTAGGTAGGTTCGTCCATTTGGTTGCTTGAACTTTTCTCTAAACTGAGCTGAGAACTGGAAGGGTGATTAGCTAGTCAAAGAGTAGGTGGTGGTCATCCAGGAAAAATGTGCTCTTCTAAGTGAGATGTATTTATTATGCTTTTTTCACAGTAGGGCAGGTAAAGACAATGGTAATGAACTGTATATTTCAACAGAGTAAGAAGAAAGGATTGTGAATGTTTTCACCACCAAGAAATTGCCTGATAGAGATGCAGACCCTGATTTGGACATCATACAGTTATACAGATTAAAATATTGCATGGTGCCTGTAAGCATGTAAAGTCTGTGTTTCAATATAAAATTATTTTTGATTAAAACCTGGGGATTTACAAAACATGTAAATGATAGGAATTGTGGTTAACACTTAACACAGCACTTACCATGAGCCAGTACTATCCTAAGTACTAATCTGTTTAATTCTCCTAGTTATCCTTTGAAGTGGGTGTCATTTTTAGTTTCTGTTACACAAATAGACACTTAACACAGAGAGGTAAGTAATCTACAGAAAAACACACAGCTGATACACCACAGATTTGGAAATGAAACCAAGGAAGTCTGGCTCTAAGATAAGTAAGTCTGAAAAGGAAACTTGCTTCATTACAAATTTCTGTTAAAAACGTTAAGGCCACGTCCTGTCAGTGTGCCACAGTCTCTCGGGTCTCATAATTTTGACTAATAGAATCCATAAACTTTCTCTCTCTCTCTCTCTCTCTCTCTCTCTCTCTCTCTCTCTCTCTCTCTCTCTCTCTCTCTCTCATCTTAGAAGTTTGGTAATTTTAATAGTAATCTTAAATGGGGGTGGGGCAGCACACAGACACGTGTGATGTGAGAGCAGAGGGGCACCAGGGAAGGATGGAGGCAGCAGGAATGGGAGAGGAGCAAACTGATTTACATTTAAGGAATGAAAGTATAGGGGGTTGAAGAGATGGCTCAGTGGTTAAGAGCACTGACTGCTCTACCAGAGGACCCAGGTTCAATTCTCAGCACCCACATGTCAGCTCACAACTGTCTGTAACTGTATGGGGTTAGTTCCCTCTGGTATTCAGACAGACATGCAGACAAAACACCCACATATATAAAATAAATAAATCTTTTTTAAGTATTGAAATTACATGTAAACTAAAAAATAGTAATTTTCTTTATTGACTTAAATAAGGATCCCCATGGCTGCCATGGGATGGACTTGTGCCCTAGGTGTTTCACTCTGCCCTGGGCTTTGCAGAAAAAGGATACTCTGCTTTGTCAAGTTGGCCCTCATCATAGACAACCGTGGGCAGTTCCCAGGGGCATGATCTTGGCATTCAGGAAGTCTGAAGAACGGCTTGAAATCCAGGTAGGCAGGCTTGGGCCAGGTCACAGGGAAGTTTCCCTGTCACTGGAAACAACAACTGAATGGATTTGAGGAATGTCACCGGAAGAGCAAACAGTCTGGGGTTTTTTTTTTTTTTTTTTGATTAACAGATCACAGTTTATTGGCCCCTGATCAAGGTCATTTTTTTTTAACTTGCAATATTCCTGCTTCAATCTCCTGAACACTGGGATGATACACACCACTACACTTAGCAAATATCTTGTATGCATGTACATATGTATGTATGTGGATACAGTCTCATGTGACCCAAGTTGGCCTTGAACTCACTATGTACCTGTGAATGACCCTGAACTCCTCATCCTCCTGCCTTTACCTCCTAAATGCTGGGAGTACAGTTGTGTATTATCACAACTGGTTGAATCTTCTTCTTTATAAAGAACCCAGCCCCAGGAACTTCACTATAGCAACAGAAAACAGACGAATACAGAGTTCACTAAAGTTGTAATCGCTAATTCATTATAAAACTCCATGCCATGTTCTTTCAAAAGATGAGTTCCTACAGGGCACGGTGGCACACACCTTTAATCCCAGCATTTAGGGGTGGGAGTTGAGGGTAAGGAGGCAGTGGATCTCTGTGAGTTTGAGGCTACCCTAATCTCTATAGCAAGCTCCAAAACAACCAGGACTGCATAGAGACCTTGACTCAGACAAACAAATAAACAATTAGTTTACACCAGATTGCTTTAAAGGATGGATTCACTCTAATTGAAAAAGTGGTGGTGGCGCGTGCCTTTAATCCCAGCACTCAGGAGGCAGAGGCAGAGGCAGGTGGATCTCTGTGAGTTCGAGGCCAGCCTGGTCTACAAAAAAAAAGAAAAAGTATGGTGGAATAAGAACATGTTTAGACAAGGAGAAACAGAATTCCTTAAAGACAGTTTACAGGATAACTGACACATACACACACACACATATACATACACACACACATACATACACACACACATACATACACACACATACATACACACACATATACATACACACATACACACAAACACATATACATAACACACATACACACACACACACACACACACACACACACACACACACACATACACAGTGGTTACAGCAGATTTTTATTAGGTGGAGAATACCCTAGGCTTTGTTAAGGTAAGTGGGAACTGGCAAGCACAGCATGTCACAGACACAGGAGGCATTCCCAGTATACGCATTCATTCTCCTGCTTATTCTGATCAAGCAGGAAGAACTTCTCTGAGACCGATGATGGCATGAAAGGGCTCACAGTGTTTAGTTCAACTTGGCCAACAATTCTTCCAGTTCTGGCCGAGCTTTGAACCTTCCTTTGAAGTCTTCTTCGGTGTGCTCCCTCACTGACAACCGGACTCCTTCTGGAAGATTGCTTTGGAGTATTTCCAAGAAAATCTCTGCAAATGTAGCACTCAGACCGCTGATCTGAACCACTCGCTCATGGGTGGTAAGGACTGAGTCTAGGACCATTTTGTTGCCTTGGGCTGGTAGCCGCATCACCTCCATGGTTTTGGTGGGCATCGCGTAACTTTCCTCAACTTTGATGGAGAGCCTGTTGCAGAGGCGGTGGACATACTGGGCATAGCTTTCTGCCAGAGTCATGTCATAAGCAGTCAGGTGGATGTTTAAAACACCATATTCATAATCTGTCCCCAGATTAATGGCTCTCACTTCCACTTTGGCTTTCTTCTTTTTAGGCTCTAGCGTTTTCACCAAGTGTTTGTATCTGCCAATGCCATGAGTGGGCTTTGTCTTGTAGTGCCGACTGGCCCTCAGGAGAATACCACTAATAGTGTCCCCAACCCCCAGATCATGTGACCCAGTTTTCTGATGCCTTTTACTTCCAGTTCGTTCTTTTGGACACATCCAGTCTTTTGTGTGCAGTCAGGGGCAAAGCAACATGAGACTGTCCCAGCAAAGTTCCCTGGAAACTCACTTACTCCCTTGGACATACCCTGAAGTATGTGGGGGTTTGGATGATAATGGTCCCAATGGGCTTATACATTTGAATACTTGGTTCCTAGTTGTTGGGGCTTTTGTAGAATGATTAGGAGTTGTGGCCTTGTTGGAGGAGATGTATAACTGGGGACAGGCTTTGTGGTTTCAAAGTCCCACACTTTTCCCAGTTAGCCTGTTCTCTGCTTCATGATTTTGTGTCAAGATGTAAGCCTTCAGCTGCTGCTCCAGCACCATGCCTGTCAGCCTGCTGCCATGTTCACTACCATGATGGTCATGGACTCACTGTCTGAAACTCTTCTACAGGTTGCTTTGGTCATTTTTAATCAATGCTTTTCTGTAAGTCAAGTCTTAAAAGAAGGCTGAATAGGTGAGCAGAGAAGGGATGGGAGCCACAGGAGAAAATGAAGTGGCCCTGTCCCCAAGTAGAGTGCCTGACTCTTGCTGTCCCCATTAGGACTCTCAGAGAAGGAGCTGTAGTAGTAAAGCACCAGCAGCTGCAGGAATGCCCCAGTCATCCTGTGGCTGGCTTTGAAGACATTTCATTCTGTATGGTTACTTCTCAGGGATTGAAAGGGGTTTCTTTGGTCACATGCTTTGCTCCATGTGTTTCTAGTCCTTCCTTCAGATTGAAGAGACACTCCTGTGAACCTGTAACTCTCCCTCCCCCCTCTGTTGTATGCATACAAATTTATACAGTGTCACTATTTCTACTCTTAAAAGTAAACCAGTTTTCTCCTGTGTGGTATGGGTGGTGCCAGACAGGTGGCACCATTCATGTGCCTACCCAGGTGCACAGTCATTCTTCATTCTCAAAATTTAGTCACAACCCACTTTTAGTAAAAATGGAGTCTCCTGGGGCAGTACACAATCTGAAAAACAATTGTTTTACACAGTATAGAGAATTTAGGATAGATTACAGCCTAATCTGAACACCTTCTAAAGAGTGAGTTTCTAGCCCTCTAAAGTCCTCAATCTTATTATTGTTATAATCCTTGCTTATTATTTCTCATTACCGATGGTGGCTTATTTAATGTGGTGGTATTGTGTTCCCCGAAATATTGTGCATGCTAATAAACTTATCTGAGGTCACAGAACAGAACAGCCACATTATTAAACATAGAGGATAGGCAGTGGTAGCACATGCCTTTAATCCTAGCATTCCAGAGGCAGAGATCTACCTGGATCTCTGTGTGTTCAAGGACAGAGCCAAGCATGGTGACTCACGCCTTTAATCCCAAGAAGTGAGCCTTTAATTTCAGGGAGTGATGGCAGAAAGCAGAAAGGTATATAAGGTGTGAGGACCAGAAACTGGAAGCATTTGGCTAGTTAAGCTTTTAGGCTTTTGAGCAGCACAGTTCAGCTAAGACCCATTCAAATGAAGACTCAGAGGCTTCCAGTCTGAGGAAACAGGATCAGCTGAGGAACTGGCAAGGTGAAGTAGCTGTGGCTTATTCTGCTTCTCTGATCTTCCAGCATTCACCTCAATACCTGGCCCCAGGTTTGATTTTATTAATAAGACCATCTAAGATTCCTGCTACATCTGGCACCCAATGTTCTTGGTACGAATTCTCGAAAAAGCTACTTGCCTGTGGCTTCGTGGGCTCCAGCTTAGACCTGAGCTACACTTGGCTGGTTGTGGTGGCACACACTGGTAGGATTCACTGAAGGAAGCAGAGGCAGGAGGATCCCGAGTTTGAGGGAGCCTAGGAGGCTTGCTAAGAAGAGGCTTTGGCTGGGACCCAGCCACAAACGGTGGCGGTGGGACCATGGTGGCAGTGACTGCTGCTCCAAGTTTTTGGCTGCTTCTCATCATGTTGGTGACTGTGGTGATGCTGCTACCTGGGTGGAAGTGTTTACTGCTGCTTGTTCAGAGAATTGACTGGACCATTGTGTTACAAGAAAGCATTGGCAAAGGTCAGTTTGGAAAAGTTTGGCAAGACAAATGGTGAGGAGAAATTGCTGTGAAGATTTACCCTTCTAGGGAAGAAAACTCATGGTTCTGAGAGACAGACATTTATCAGACTGTCATTGCTCCAAACCACAGAGGAGGCACAAAAATAAAATAAAATAAAATAAATGTCTGCAGGAAACCTGGACCACGCCTAACAATGACTTTGAAATCTTCAAAAAGATGACAGGAGCCCACAATGACGATTCCACATGGACTATGATAAAGCCATTAAGTTGATTAACACCATGGAAAGATTGGCTTTGGACTACAAACTACTCAGGACAATTTTGAGATGGCTAGCTGAGATGATCCAGCCTGACAGACTACTCAAACAAGGACTTGAGACAAGTCCTGCACTTTTCCCATTATGCAGAGACTGGACAAATGATACAGGACTTGAAAATTAACCCAAAAATTTTCTTTTCAGGATTCCCAAAAGATGTCTTCACCCCCAGAAAGCAGGAAGTAATTTTAAGAAAACAACGCCCACATTCCCAAGAGGTGGGATGGGTGGTTTTTGGTTGTTTAATGAGTTATGGATATTGTCATTGTTTATGATGGTTGGTTACAAGTTGTTAATTGTTAATGGTCAGGAAAAAAGCTGAACAAGGAAATTAGATTCAGAGCTTTGTTTAAAAAAAAGAAAAAGAAAAAAGAGAATATAGATATGAGATAGATCATTGACTCTACTCTGAGAAAAAAAGATAAAGAAATAATAGGATAAATGGGTAGATCATTGAATCTACTCTAATAAGAAAAGGGGAAGATATAAAAATGACAAAAGGTAGATTATTGAATCTATTATGAAAAGAAAAAAGAGAGAATATGGATATGATAAGATAAAAAGGGAGATTTTTGAATCTATATTTAAAAAGGTACTACTTGTTTTAAATAGGATAAGTAATGAAAATTTTTTCTGAATTTGTCAAATGTAACTGGACATTGATAATATATATAATGGAGTTTTTATCTGAATATGTCAAATGTTAATGGACTAGACATCATTAATGTAACTCTTGACTGTGTATATTGTATATACTTATTGGATATAATTTTTCTTGCATTAGTTATAAGCTTTTTAAAATTTTAGATAAAAAAGGGGAAATGTGGTGGTATTGTGTTCCCCCGAAATATTGTGCACACTAATAAACTTATCTGGGGTCACAGAACAGAACAGCCACATTATTAAACATAGAGAATAGGTAATGGTAGCACACACCTTTAATCCTAGCATTCCAGAGGCAGAGATCTACCTGGATCTCTGTGTGTTCAAGGATACAGCCAAGCATGGTGACTCACACCCTTAATCCCAGAAAGTGAGCCTTTAATTTCAGGGAGTGATGGCAGAAAGCAGAAAGGTATATAAGGTGTGAGGACCAGAAACTGGAAGCATTTGGCTGATTAAGCTTTTAGGCTTTTAAGCAGCACAGTTCAGCTGAGACCCATTCAGATGAAGACTCAGAGGCTTCCAGTCTGAGGAAACAGGATCAGCTGAGGAATTGGCGAGGTGAGGAAGCTGTGGCTTGTTCTGCTTCACGGATCTTCCAGCATTTACCCCAATAACTGGCCTCAGGTTTGATTTTATTAATAAGTACCTTTAAGATTCATGCTATAGTCTAACCCTTTCCTTGTTCCTAGTTGTCATAGCTGGGACCATGCTTTTTCAGAGGGGCTTGAGTGGGACAAGAGGGACAGAGCAGCACCATGACCTCAGAAGACATGTAAAGTAGCTGACAGGGCAGCAGGGCTGATCCAGTGTCCCAAAGTGCTGTGAGGCCTCTCATCAGATACTGGCAGAGTCAAGGCTTGTGTGGGTGGAGTAGGAGAAGGAAGAAAAAACAGGCAAGAGATCATTCTCAATAGAGAAAAGAACCAGGAAGCAACCATGTTTATCTTGTCAGCCAGATTAAATTTTCTACCACTGGACTAAATGGAGATGGGGAACTGGATTCAACTGTGGAAAGAATAAAGTGAGATTTTTATATATCAAAGTTGGTGAGTACAAAATGCGTGAACATCTCATGAAGTAAGACAGTCTTGTGAAATTTACCAAGGACGTTTCTAGTAACTCTTATTTAGTGAACTGAATAAAGGAAAGAAAAGGTAATACTTGAAAGCATATGTCTGAATTAAGTTTTATCATAGAAGGCTGTGGGGAGAAGGTCGATCCACTTCAGGACAAATGCAAGAAAGCAGAGCTAAGGCCCAGGTGAGTGATCACTTCTTGTTGCTTACATTGTCCTGGTTCCTGACATTTTGTGAAGGTTTGCAAATGTCTGAATGCACTCCTAAGAGTGACAGCTGTCATTTTCTGAAAGGGAATCAGATGCATAGAGGATGGAGCTTGGGGAACACTTACTTTTGTTTGGATATACTTTAATTAATAAAAACCAACATGTGGACCATTGGAATCTAATTGAAGATCCTGACATTAATCTACACACCTATGAACACCTGATTTTTGACAAAGAAGCCAAAACTGTACTATGGAAAAAAGAAAGCATCTTCAACAAATGGTGCTGACATAATTGGATGTCAACACATAGAAGAATGCAAATAGATTCATATTTATCTCCATGCACAAAACTCAAGTCCAAGTGGATCAAAGACTTCAGCATACATCCAGTTACACTGAACCTGACAGAGAGAAAGTAGAAATAATCTTGACTGCATTGGCACAGAGGACCACTTCCTAAATATAACACCATTAGCACAGACACTGAGAGCAACAATCGCTAAAAGGGACTTCCTGAAACTGAGAAGCTTTTGTAGGCAAAGGACACGGTCAAAGACAAAACAAGAGTTTACAGAATGGGAAAAGATCTTCACCAACCCCACATCTGAAAGAGGGTTGATTTTCAAAATATATAACAAACTCAAGGATCTAGACATCAAGTATCAAACAATCCATTTAAAAAATGGCCTACAGAGCTAAACAGAGAATTCTCAACAGAAG